CTAGTTGTATTGTCGATTCGTAAGTAACCCTTTTTACTTTTTTTTTTATTTACTTACCTTAAAGTAACTAAATAGAGGGTTCATGACCTTATATATTATTTGTTTATGGTCAAAATATTACCAATGTTTTACTCTTAAATAATAATAATAACAAATAATATCATTTACAGAAAATACTTAAAATTTTATCGTTATTTCTAGTAATAGCTGTCATTCTCAGTCAGTTGAGATTGCCTCTCTGCAAAAACCATCTTTTTCGGTAGAAGGCAGAAGAATAGTGGACATAAACTTTTTCATTAAATCTATTCAAGGTTTGAATAATCATTCTCCATTTTTATGCAACTTTTCTAATATGGAGATTATCAAAGAAAAAATGGACGGATTGATAAGTACATTGACTTTTAAATGTCAAATGTGGAATATTGAAAAGGAGATAGCAACATAGGATTCTGGTAACAATTCACTGAACTTGAATGGTTCTGGTTATTCAGACATACAGCAGCAGCACGCTGCATTAAATATACCTGTGATGTCCTACAGGCAGTATGCAAAACATACGGAGACAGTTGCAGATATCATCGGCCAAACACTTTGTGATTCCTTAGAAGAGGCTGGACGGGAGGAATTAGCTTTAGCCTACGAAATTGGTGAAGTAGATTCCGACGGAAATGGATTAATAACCGTTATAGCTGATGGTGCTTGGTCAAAAAGATCGTATAAAGTAAACTACGATGCTTCTTCAGGTGTAGTACCTGACGTTGTAAAATTTATTAAATTAGTACGCCTTTGATGGATAGGACATGTAATTAGGCGAGATGAAGATGAAACGATCAGAAAAAATTTCGACCGAAGAGGACCAGTGGGAAGACGATCCAGAGGAAGACCAAAACTTAGGTATCAAGATAACATAGAGGATGATCTAAAATCCATCGGAGTTAAAGCATGGAGAAAGTTGCCAGAGGCAGGGGCGAATGGAAGATTGTTCTGAAGAAGCCTTTGGCTCATGACGAGCTGTAATGCCACTGATGATGATGAAATAACTATCCACGATTTGTGTTTTATTCATCAATTGGATACTTTCCTTATGTAACTGCAACCTATAAATATATTAAAATAATGTATATTCCATTCAGAGAACTTTTTCCTCCCAGTGCGTCGCCTCGAAATACTTGCCAGATAAATACATTTACTATTATGATGGTTTCGCAGGTACCAATTTTTTATAGATAAATAAAAATATTTTTTGTTTAATTTTTACTACGCTAATATCAGTTTTTCTCTAACAAATAAATAACTTCTTGAAATAATTTTCAAGCTATAACTGCGAAATTGTTTATTTGTTTGTGACAACAAATTGTAATTTTTTTGATAATAATATTCTTATGTTATTTTAAATTTATTATAAATAAACACCATGGTGTTTTTTGCAGTCACGTTTCACAAATTTTTATTCAATACTATGTTTAGCTAAGACATATAAATTAAAAATGTGATTAATTCTTTTTAAAACATTATCTACGATAATCAATCTAAAAAAAAGTATTCCGACAAAACTAATTTGAATGGAGAATAATGCATTTATTGTCATTAAACAACCCGTGGGCCGGCGCCACTGAATAAACATCGAAACTGCAAATTTCAAATTAGGAAGTCACATAGGGTCTGACATAAGCAGTGTAGAAAAGTAAGTGATACGCCCACTTCAAATCGCAGTATGCTTATAACTGCGAAAACAGCCTTAATTCAAATTGAAATGAAAACACTTTTTGTATATTCGTATAAAGACACAACTGCCACCCTATAGCCGCAATTTGAGTATTCTGTTGGGTTTTGTGTTTCACGGTCAATGTTTATCTTTTATTCATGGATGTAAATTATTGAATTTTATAAGAACCTTAAAACTTACTCTCTAAATGCCAATTCGATACAAAGCGATATAGATCTCACAGATGTATTTGCGTACATTTAAATTTTAGTTAAAGTATACCATCCTGACTTGTTTTAATACATTTTTGTTTTTACTGTTTTTTAACGTAGTCTTATTCCCGAGGTAGCGAATAGTGGAAGTTATCATTCACTATTCCCGAGGAAACTCTTTCAATGCTTAATATTTATAACCCACGGAAATGATGTATTTTAAGAAACTCACTCTAGACGGGAAAATCTTTATCAGATGTTCCTTTCGCTGTTGCCGGTACGATGATTAATTGTGACATTATCTTCGCTTCAACCAAGTTATAAGATCCTAATAACATGAATATCAATTAATTACCATCAATGTCAGAATGTATGGAAATATGTTTTATATTTCTTTATATACAGACCTAATCATACGAAATCATCATCATCTTTTAAACTGGTATTAATAAAGTTAAGTAATACACTAAAATTAGTCTAAATTCTTCAAAAATAGGAAGTGAATATTATTTAGTATTAAATTGTTATTTATTATTAAAGTTGTATAGTGTTATATATTAAAGTTCAAGTAGATCATGCCTGTCAAATTCTTTAAGATCTTCGAAGCTCTTATACACGAGTTGGGCTTAAAATTAACTTTCCAAAATACAATACATGATCAACCTTGTATTGGTCAAAAACATTTCAACCAATGGCATGCAAATTAAACAAGTTTATACGTTTTATTTTACGTTCTTCGTAAGTTCTTCATGATGTGACGGTTATTTTTGATGCCGTCTGCTTAGCAACTGTAGAGTTAGCGGTTCTCCTTCATTTTGCACAAATTTCGATTTTCACATTGTTTTTTATCTTTTTTAATACATTTGAGGTGTTAAATTTTATTCCTCGTATTAAAGATGTCGTAGTAGACGCTCAGAGCAAAAATTTCGAAGAATTATACGGCTAAGGTATACGAGCCTTCATTCTAAGGAACTTTTTGTCGGCTGTTTCGGCTTTTGGTAAAGCTAGCGAACTAGAAGAATCTGAAGCTCTTGGTGACGCCGTGCCTAGAATTGAAGATTCGTCAGAAGAGGATAATGCTGATGAAACTGCAAAGAATAACGAAAATGAGGCTAAAAAGGCTCAGAAATCCAAAAGACTGTGGAGATGATGAAGAGTATGCAGCGGAAACCAATGACGAATTAGCAGATCTTTAAGTCGCCTGGGAGGTTCTTGAGGTGACCAAGAAAATCTTCCAAAAACAGGGTACCGCCGCCAAAAAGTTTCATTAGAAAGCAAAAATTTCGAAACTGCCGTCAATGACATTACTGAAAGTCTAAAAATGCAAAAAGATATATTCGCAAAAAAACGGTAGCAGAAACTTATCACATGTTAGGAGTAGCGTATTCTACGAATACCTAAATAGATGAAGCTATTAATAGTTTCAACAGTTCCTTAGAATACCTTAACAACAGAATTGTCCATTCGAAAAGTGTCGAAGACAAAAAATATGAAGTCAATGAAGAAAAAGAAAAAGCCTCGAACTAACTATGAAGATTTTTTGACTGTTTTTCAACCATGTTACAGGAAATTATCATCACCATGTAACAATCACCCTTGTAAAATTTGGGTTGCTGAAATTTAAAAATATCTCCTAAAATCACTAAAATCTAATGAATACAAGCCCGGTCCTTGTACAACGCCTTGTTATATGCACAAACCATATTAGGAACAATGTTGCTGTTATGATTTTCCATTTAAAGCTAATAGCTACGATCATCCTGCAGAAATTAAACCAAAACATCCGTTAAATGCTTATTGTCTTAGATAGTTTTAGATGTTTTTTTTTGGAAATCATAGTAACTGCAAGTTACGCAATAAGAGATGCAGGTTCCAGACACATCAGTCACGTCTCGTCACAGTCCTGGCGCCGAACCGAACAATCCTTCATACAAAATATTCTTTAATAGAAATATGGCTCCGGCATTCACATTCATCAGGCGACGAACAGTTTCCCAGCTGTCAGATAGTTGATAGTTCTGTGACCAAACAGGACCGGTTCGGCGCCGAGACTATGACGGGACTAAATCGACCTTTAGAATTTTGGCCACAAGATTAAATTAGGAAGAGACAATGAAACAACAGAGTTAAACAGGAGAATGCGACTCACATGGATAGCTTACGGAAAACTGAGGGAAGTCTTTAGATCAGATATTCTCATGTACTTGAAAAGGAAGGTATTTGACCATGGTGCAGGAACATTGACCCTTATCAGAGAAGTAATCAATAATATACAAGTGGCACAGAGAGCAATGGAGAGGTCAATGTTGAATATATTCCTCAAAAACATAATTTCAAATCAAATAGTAGAAAAACTGGTGTTAAGGACGCAGTTAAAAGAATTACGACGCTGAAATGCAACTGGACAGGACATGTTAAGAGTCAGAGATAAACTAAGCAAATTCTAGAATGTAGACCTGGACACGATGCCTATCGTACTCGAGGACGTCCTCCAACAAAGTGTTCAGAGCACATCAAGCACATCCAGTACAACTGGATTCAGGGTGCTCAAGATGTGATACAATGGAATTATTTATGGTAGGTCTATGTTCCGCAGTGAACTAAAACGGCTAATGATGATGATGGTTAAAGTTCAAAAACTAAGAAATATATTAAAAACTATTTTTGAGATTTCGTGGTTCTTGGAGCAAGAGACATAATAAAATGTTATAACCGAAAGAAGAAACGGATTATCAACAAAAAAGAAACACAAATAGATTATTTTCAGCGATCTGTCAATTTTCAGCTATCTGTCAGTTTTTGGTCAATTTCTACGTTTAAAGTAGTCCAAAAACTATCAATTAGCGACGTTGCCGTATTTAATTGAAAATATTTGAGTGGATCTTCAAAAAACTTTGTTTACCGGTCCTGGCTCTATAAAATGTCAATGTTACCTAAAAGTTGAGGAGCACCCTTAAAAGTTAAATTTTATAAGACTTTCTATAGTCTAGAGGACGGAAATATTACAAAATACACCCCAGAACAATCTGACAAACATAATGACATAAATCTATATTATTATAATTGGTACATACCTGACTTACCTGAATTTTGACGGCAGTGGTGGGATATGCTTAAAGAGGGTCGAGACAGTGCCGGCGAACAATCGACCCCAATCAGCAATGACGGTTAACGTTAAGGGTATTCCTATAAGTGCGAAAACTATGCAAAAGGCACGACCTTCTGTCGTCATAGGAACGATGTGTCCGTAACCTGAAAAAAATTATTTGTTAACATTCTAAGTATTTGCTAATATTCAATTCTATAACAAAGAGTAAAGCAAAAATCAGCTATGCCGAGGATTTGTTGAGAAGATTTTAACTGAAATAACTTAAGAGGTGTATACATAGATACTTATAATACAAAATAGTTTGTATCATGGATTGGATACCGTTTCTAGAACACCCCAAAGGCTAATGTATCGAAACATGCTTGGAATATCACTAAGAGACACGAATAGAAACACCCAGATAAGCTGTAAAACGAAGATCATGGATATCGTGGAAAAAATAACAAAAATAAAATGGCTCTGGACCAGTCACCTAGTCAGATATGATGATGACAGGTGGACACAAAGAATGGAAACCAAGTGGAACCACAAGAAGCAGATGATATAAGAGCAGTGGCAGACAAATAGTAGATTAGATTGAAACAAGGTAAAGAAATATGGAATCAATTGGAAGAGAACTACATTTCAGAGTGGATGAAAAGTAGTTGACGAAAAATACATTTTGTTTGTCTATACAGTATAGTAAAGCTCACTTATTGATTTTATTTGGAGTATTTCTATAATGTGTTGTTTGTGTTTGTAGTGGACCATAGTTTTCGTGAGAGTGGGTCTTGTTATAATGCTGTAATTTAAACAATTAATTGTGGTGACAAATTATTTTTAACTATTTTTGCCATAGTTTAAGAAGTTTTTTCATAAAAGGTTATAAAATATTGACCTTAAGTTTCCTTTACTTAAGAAAATATTTACATCAAAAAAGTTTTACAATATACCTTAACACTATTCTTCCCAAACTCATTCTTTATTTAATGTTGCTTTCAACAAACCTATTTACCATTTCTTATTAAAAATGCAATTTTATCTTCATAATCCTATACTCTCAAACATTGAGTCTACCCTAATCATTCGTTCCATTTTGCATGAGAGCGTTGACTCCCTCAACAGAAAGCAAGAAGTGACAAAATTGAGAAAATAAGACGTAATAGCTAGCTGATGCGAGTCCGATGAAACATTTAAGACAATAGTTCCGATATATAATGTCATAAACGTCTTCACGTCCGTGTAATGAAGATATATGGTCGATTTTTATTATAGAAAAAGTTCGTGCATCGGGTATTAGCACTAGAAATGACGAATTGTGACAAGGATGTTAACGAAATTACTAATTAGTTATAAGGGACTTGCCAATTAACATTTATTGTATATTTGTGATCATAAATGTTTAGAGCATCTCACAAATATATTTTTTTATTTAACACAACTTGTTATTTGTAATATAACATGTTGTATGTTATTTTTTTTGTTTTATGGTCTTATGGTCGGTGTTAGATGCAGTGGCGACTGGTGAGAGAGGGCCAGAAAAAAAATTCATAAATATAATGCCCTGATTTATTAATATAAGTTCTAAAATTATTACCCATTTTTATAAATAAGTTGGGCACATGAACATAAACAATAGAAATCAAATGATATGAAATATGTATTAAAGAATAATTAAATATTTATTTACAAAATTACAATACCAAAATATTAATATGTGGGGTCAGTGTGACTATCGTCATCATCTGCCAAATTTATTACAATACTTTAAAAATGATCTATATGAAGATGAATTTTCAACTTTCTTTCTTGGCAATTTCGGTTTCCGATATACAAAATTGGATTTTGTCAGCCGCTAATATTAATATTTTGTATTTCACTATTAATAATTTTTTTTTCTGAAAAATGGCTTTGGCGGAGCCAATTAGCCAGACTTTTTCGGATTTATTGTTAATCGACTGAATTTTAATTATTATAAATTGCAGATTCATACTCAAAATTTTCTTATCAGTTATATTATCTAATATTTTATGGACACATAAATTTGCTTTGGATATATTTTTATTTGGTTTTTTTATTCTTTTGTTTTCTTTTTCTTTGTTTGTTTTTTGTTATTAATAAGTTGTAATACAGAAGCGCTTAGAATAGATGTAACATTTTTTCTTCTTTGATAGATTTTAATGTGAACATGTGTTTTATAGGATTAAAATACAATCATATGGGGGCAATCGTAAAATTGTATGACCCATACTTTCTGCATGCTTATCACATACATTTTCTTTTTCTTTTTTTGTAGATAAGGTCCTAAAAATAAATCGTTTTCGTATATGTTTCTTCAAAATAAATATTGCAGAACATTATTTCATTTTGAATACAGTAAAACCTCAATATAACGGACTACTTGACAGACGGGGTGTGTCCATCAAAGCCATAAGTCTGCTATACAAAAATATATTTAAAATAAATCAAAAACTTTTTTTGAAAATAGTTATGTGAAATTTTCGAGGGGGTGCTGGAGGGGGATATTATTTCCGTACTGTAAATTGTCAATTTACTAACAAACATCGACCTGTTTCAGGTTTTTTTCACATAGTACATAATAACGCTAAAAATGAATTTATTCCATACATATGGACCACATGGTATTTATTAAAACTGATCAGTTGAAAAACGTTATTTGTTAAAAAGTATTACTTTCAGTACACCATTGATATATTAGATTATAATTTAAGAAAAACACACTTATTTTTCCACTTTTTCAACCCCAAAGTTTTAATGGTTCTTATAGTTTACACACCCTTTTTGTTGTTCGTATTTTACCCGCATCAGGTACAAGCCTCAGGACATTATCCACCCCGAGTCACGTACAAAGGATCTGTAAGTTATTGGAGAAAATTACCTAAGTAAAAGTAGCACGAAAATTATTTTTCCGATACGAGTGTAGAATGGGGTGAGCGATAATGTCCACCAAAAGTCCATTTTTGTTGTGAAAGTCTTATGTACTATAAGAACGAAGGTCAACGTGAATGACCACTATAGTCGAATTAATTCTTTAAAACTGGGTTTTAGGTAAATGATTAATTATTGAAGAACATAATGTATAAGATATAATGTGTATATGTGATATATTTTATACAAGCATTGTACGGTAATTTGGCAACAAATCCATAGTCATGTACCTAATTTATTTTTTACACATTTTAAAACGAATATCAAAAATAAACGTTTTAACCCTTAATTTGGCAAGCCTTAATATAACAGTTATTTTTGTTAAATTGTTGTTTAGGTAGTGTGATATGGTATATCAATCCCAATGTTTTTATTACTCTCTGTATCTAAAACCCAGACGTCTCAAACAAGACAACACATATGTGGAAACCAAATTTAAAATAAACGAGAGCTTAAGGAAAGTCAAAGAAGATAATGCAGAAACTCTAACTGTTGACCAAAAATGGGGAAAAATTCAACATGCCCTTGTGTCAGTTAGAAAAGAAACCCGCAAACCACTTAAAGAAAAAACAAAACCTTGGATGACAGTAGAAATTCTTGAACTCATGGAAGAACGAAGAAAACATAAAGCAAAAGACCTGAATAAATACAAAGAAATTCAGAGAAACATCAGAAAGAAAATTCGAGAGGCAAAAGAGAGGTGGCTCTCCGATAGATGCAAGGAAATAGAAGATCTGGATAAAAAGTACGATAGCTTTAATTTACACAAAAAAATCAAAGAAATGACAGGTTCTAGAAAGCGTACAAAAACGAATATCCTTAAAAATGATAAAGGGGATAATATTACTGATATGAAGGAGAGATTATGTCACTGGACCAATTACATTCAACAACTATTTAATGATGAAAGGGAAGAACTGTCATTAGAAATCACCGAGGATACTGGACCACCAATATTAAGAGAAGAAGTCATCTATGCCATCAAAAACACAAAAGAGGGTAAAGCCACTGGACCAGATGAGGTGCCCATCGAATTATTAAAACTCATCGATGAAGATGTTATTGATGTAATGGTTGAACTCTTTAATCTAATATATCAGACTGCCACAATCCCCAGACAATGGCTGCAATCAACCTTTGTAGCAATTCCCAAAAAACCAAGTTCAACAACTTGCTCAGACCACAGAACAATAGCTTTAATGAGTAACACACTTAAAACATTTTTGAAAATAATTCACAGCAGAATTGTTAAAACTCTTGAATATGAGATTAGTGACACACAATTTGGCTTTAGAAATGGTATGAGTACAAGAGATGCTTTGTTCGGCTTGAATGTGCTGGCTCAGAGATGCATGGACATGAATCAGGATATGTACTTATGTTTTGTAGACTTTGAAAAGGCATTTGATAAAGTTCAACATAAAAAGCTTGTAGATATATTAAAAAGCAAAAATATTGACAGTCGTGATCTGAAAATTATATCTAATTTATATTGGAATCAAACTGCCAAGGTAAGAGTTGACAGCCAGTACACCGAAAATATCAAAATACAGAGAGGAGTCCGCCAGGGTTGCGTGCTGTCCCCACTACTTTTCAATGTCTAGAGTGAAGCGGTATTTCAAGAAGCGCTCTCAGACTCAATAGAAGGTATATCTATCAATGGAGAAGTTTTGAATAACTTACGTTTTGCAGACGATACAGTAATAATTACGGATAACAACAATGATTTACAGAACGTAATGCAACGCCTTAATGAACGCTGTCATGAGTACGGACTGAAGATAAATTTAAAGAAAACTAAATGCATGATCATGACGAAATCTGCACATGCAAATATCCAATTGACTATTGAAGATACTGCAATTGAGAGTGTTAATAACTATAAATACTTAGGAACATGGATAACATCAGATGTAGACCAAACCAAAGAAATTAAGACACGTATTGAAATAGCACGTACATCATTTATTAAACTTAAAAAGTTTCTTTGTTGTCGGGATATAAGGTTAGAACTACGTCTGAGAATGCTTCGATGTTACGTGTTCTCTACTCTTCTTTATGGTCTGGAAGCTTGGACACTAAAACAAGTTCATCTGAATAAGTTGGCCGCCTTTGAATTTTGGTGTTACAGAAGAATCCTACGAATATCATGGACTCAAAGAATGTCAAACATGGAAGTAACTAGAAGGATAGGAAATGAGGCGGAAATAATATT